AGGAAAATCATTTGAAGGAATGAAAAGTCGACAAGAAAACGATCCATCCACGTCCATCGTCATGTCTTACGTTTATTCGCCGTCTATCTTGCATATACACACCGAAAATGACACCAAACGTCTACTTGGTTGTACTTGTTTTTTTTTTTTCTTCTTTTCTTCTTTTCTTTAACTCTAAACAGTTAGCTCGCTTGCCTTCTCGCAAAGTTTTACCTTAAAATACTTGCAAATGGAATCGTCTACTTTCGCGCGTGCCGCCGCGGTATTTACACGAGTATCTCTGTGAGCGTGTATTACGTATGCTCTGTGTATGTGTGTATGTATGTGTTGTTTAAGTATGCAAGAATCATTTACAGTGCGGTTCGCGTACGTGGACTCAAAAGGATAAAAAAAAGAAACGGCCCCGATCGACGGTTTCACCGCCTTTACTGGCCGTTTCGATTTCCACGATCGATCGCGTGGACCAAAAAAAAAAAAAAAAAAAAAAAGGTACAGGAAACGTCGAAGTGAGACTAAAGTCGGTCGTATCGACTTCTCGCCTCGCCGAAAACGGAAGAAAAACCGTGGAAAGCATCGCGTTCTTATTCAATCCCCGGCTGGATGGTTCCTCGAACGAGAATGTTGAACGCGCGACGCGGAATGCAAGTAAGTACGAATGCAGGAAGTTGCACTCAGCCTGAGATCGATTGCTCGATCTTCGTTTACATACGCGGAGTTAAAAAGAAAGGAACAAGTCGAACATTTCCACAAGTCTTTGAACAAGTCTGGGATCGAGGATTTCCTCGTATCGACTACGGAATCCGGTCGCGCTACCTGTAAGTAATAGTCGAGGATCGTGTTTTGAAGTGTACAAATTTTATCAATTTTTATTCTCTCCGTGGTTGGTATTTTTGCACTTTGCAAAGTGAATTTTGCGACGTTACTTGGCTTTCCTCTCATTTCCGGGCGTTTCCTCAAGCAAACAGTATGTTGAAACTTAAGTTTAACGATGACGACTTCAATGGTAACCAACGAAATCAGAAACTGAATTTGAAATGACCAGCGAATGTGCTAATTTGTTATCAACTCCCAACTAGCATCATTAGGGATCCATAAGTATTTTAGAGTTATTAAATTGCTTAGTTCTGGAATTTTTAATTTAATTCGATTTTGTCAAAGGAATATGAAATATGTAATGAAATTGATATTATTTAGTAAGGTTGAATTTATCGCAATTTCGAGAAATATCACTGCAAGCTTGAAAAATCTTTCCCTATTCGATTACTCTATAATAGAGAAATATCGCGGAGAAGGTAAAATTGGTAATTAACGACGATCTTTGAGAGTTAACATTACTTTTTGGAATTTCATTGTTAAAAGGTTTTCGTTGTTGAAGCAAAAAATCACTACAAGTTTTCAAGAATTTTTCTCTGTCCGATTAAATAATAATTTTTATTTAAGAATGTAAAATCTATTTGCGAATTAACCACTTGTAACCCAATGATACTATTCGAGAGTTAATATCTCAATTTATTTGAATTACACAATGATAGAGAAAGATCATTGCTTGAAAAATTTCACAAAGCATGATAAAATATAAAACAGATAATTAGATAATCTAAGTTTTAGTTATTTACAACTCAACGACACTATTTGAAGGTTAATATCTCAATTTATTAGAATTACACGATGTCTTTTCATTCAGAGAAACCAGATCAGACAAACAAGTGCTCGAAAGATGTATCTATCTCTGTTCGAAATGTTGTACGTGGATCATCAAAACACGTGTTCCTCGAAATCCTGCGACAAATAGCGTGCTATCTCTGCGCGATTCAGATGAGAAATGGTCAGAAGGAGGAGGCCATACGAGAATCGAGAAACAATAAGACCTCATCGAAAAGGGATAGATTTTCCATCGCGAGTCACGCGAACTCTCCACGATCGATCGATCCCTCAACATGTCGTTAGCCAACGTACACGAACGAGTCGTCTCTCGGTGCAGGTTTCTACGGTAGAAAGTGAAACGAGTTCGTGTTCTCGGTGAGAAAGAAAGAAGGAAGAGCAGATTCACGAGGAACACGAGACGTTCTTCTCTCTCGTTCGTGTTCGACGGGCGAACGCACGATCCTTGATAGAAATTGTGCAACGTTCGTTCACGGTGATTTTTCGACGTGTGTGACACTCGCGGCGGGATCCTACTTCGACTTCTAAAAAAAAAAAGGAGAGAGAAAAAAAAAGGAAAAAGAAAGAAATGGAAAGGGGACGAACTGGTCGAATCTGTCCGTCCGATGCTACTTGATGCGTTTTTGTACTTTCTTCTCGGTCTTCTCGCTTCGATCTTCTCTTCTTTTACGAGAAGTTTCTCGCCCTTTGTCGTTTACTCGCACTCGCTTCTCATTTTCTCGTCTTTCTTTGTTTTTTTTTTTTTTTTTTTTT